TGTTGGGCTAATGAGTTTGTGGTTTAGCTTTGGTTCAGGGGTCCTAGCTCGCTTTGTTGTTGAGTGGGAATCAGGTAAAGAAGGTTGCACGATGCATGTTTCTCCCGATCAACTTTGGCCTCATACCAAGGTTTGTTTTCTTATTTCTTATGTCATTCCTTTCTTTTCTTCACTATTAGCATATTGGGACTTTGTCCTTCAGTTAAAATTTATAACAAAAGATATCTTGAATATCATTTTTAAGCTCCATTTTTTTTCAATTTTTGTTCTAATCTCTCTCCCTCTCTCTTTCTCTCCTTCTAAAAAAATCAATCTTTTGAGCAATTTAGAGAAGGAAAAGTATCTTTTTTAAAATAGAAAGTTAACAAACAATTTCAAACAGTAGAATTATGTTAAGTTGTTTTTGTAATGCGATGAAAACTGTGATACCTTTTTACTTGTTAGTTTTTACTGTAGATGTGTTTGATCTTTATAGCTATCTATTTTGCTCATAGAGGGGTGGATTTTGATGACCCTGTCAACCCCTGATTCACTTTTGTAACTTCGTCCTTTTAAAGATTCTCTTATCTTTTCTACAAACAGAAATCCTAAACAGGAAACAAGATCTTTTTATTATGTGCTCTTTTATCATGGAGACATTATTAAACCCATCCCTTGCTTTTTTCTGCAGTTTCTAGAAGATTTCATAAATGGAGCTGAAGTTGCATCGCTTTTGGACTGCATTCGCCTCACTGCAGGACCTTTGCATGCTCTTGCTGCTGCAACTCGTCCCGCACGTGCTGGTGCTGTTCCAGGGGTCCCTGGGGTAGCTGCAGCTGTTTCTACCATCCCAAAACAAACGGGTTACATACCATCACAAGGACTTCTTCCGACCAGTTCAACCACAAATGTGAGTCAGGCTGCTTCCGCCCCCTCAGGAAACCCTATTGCAGCTGCTGCTACAGGCTCTCTGGGGAACCATAACCTTCATGGGGCTGCAATGTTAGCTGCTGCAGGGCGAGGTGGCCCTGGCATTGTGCCAAGCTCACTGTTGCCAATTGATGTCTCTGTTGTACTACGGGGCCCATACTGGGTACGAATAATATATCGCAAACATTTTGCTGTTGACATGCGATGCTTTGCTGGAGATCAGGTCTGGTTGCAGCCTGCAACACCACCCAAGGGTGGCCCTTCAGTTGGAGGGTCGTTACCATGTCCACAATTTAGGCCTTTCATCATGGAGCACGTTGCCCAGGAGCTGAATGGATTAGATTCGAATTTTACTGGTGGTCAACAGACAGTTGGAATGCCAAATTCCACCCCAGGTTCGGGCTCACAGTTGTCAAGTGCAAATGGAAATAGAGTTAACATTCCTGGTTCTGCAATGTCCAGGGCAGCAAACCAAGTGGCTGGTTTGAACCGTGTTGGGAATCCTATTCCAGGATCATCAAATTTGGCTGTTGTAAGTTCTGGTTTGCCTATACGTAGATCTCCTGGTGCTAGTGTCCCTGCCCATGTGAGAGGAGAACTGAATACAGCTATTATAGGTCTTGGTGACGATGGAGGTTATGGAGGTGGATGGGTTCCTCTTGTTGCTCTTAAGAAGGTGTTAAGAGGCATTCTTAAATACCTTGGAGTGCTATGGCTATTTGCACAGTTACCTGATCTTTTGAAACAGATCCTGGGATCTATTTTGAAGGACAATGAAGGCGCACTCTTGAATTTGGACCAGGAACAGCCTGCCTTACGCTTCTTTGTGGGGTAAGTTAGATTTGAAATCACTTCTTTTCTATAAAGCTAAATTGAGTTCTTGTTTATTTCTTAATATTATCAGATGAGCCGGGTGGATTTTGAATGCTTATTGTGTTGTACAAATTATTTTTTGATCAACACTAGTGCATTCAAACCACAAGTTTACATGATAAAAACTTCTGAATGCTCTATGTGCTAGCAATGGAAAAGAAAACTATGAAGTGGTTAGCCTTGCACTCTCATTTTAGTCTGTTCATGTCTGCTTTTGGTTAGCCACAACTTGAGGCCTTCCATTTTGAGTGCCTGCTTGGAGCAGGTATGGTAGAGGCAGAATAAATTTGTAGCCAGCCAAAGTTTGTTGAATTATATGATGGTTTCTTTTTGGAGAGGGAAACCAAATCATCAAGTGACAGCGAGTGATACATAGGCTATAGATGTAGGGCATAAGGAGGAAAAAATTGGACTGCTGAACTGTTCAAGCCATTTCGTCTTTTGAGTAATGATTGAATCATAAAATCAACACCAGTGAAATTCATCTTAAATTTGTGTTCAGAAGCAGTAGTATCTTTTTAAGTTTTGGCATGAGGTAGTTGGTCACCATGTTAAAGACGTTTGATTTTGAGCATATTAAAGACAGATGTCTTGTTACGAATTCTAGGTGAATGAAACATGGTGGTAAATTAGAACTAGGCTATGAGAGGTTTGTGTTTGCATGTTTGAGGGATACTGCTGAAACATGGAGAAGCATGAGGCATGCTGACACACACAAATAAGACATCAAAGAGAAGATAAAGAGGCAACACTTTTACAGATGGTTAGGAAGTAAATCCCCCAAAAAAGCACCTTGGAGTTTTGTAGTTCTTCCGAAAGACATCTATTTACAGGTGGTGAAAAAAGAAAAGAAAAAAGATTTGGATCTTTTTGGCTCTTCAGAAGTTTTTATTATTGAGATTTGTCATTTTCCCCCATTGAAAAAAGGCGCAATTTAACTCATCCACCATTATTGACGAATTCCATCCTCTCATAAATACTATCTTTTATACTTCAGTATATTTGTAAGTTATAATCAAATCTTGAATAGGCATCATCAACATAGTCTGGTTCCGTTTGATTTCAATGCTTGGAACTTCTCTTGCCAAAACCCATGCTGTCGATTCATTTTAGATCTAGTTCTAAATTATATTAAGTTGTTTTGCATGTGTTGTTTTACATTAAGATGGACTTGAACTTGTTATATTATGACATGAAGGGTATTCTAGTGATGCTTGGAGCTTGCTGCCATGAAGAATGTGTGCATACTTCCAGCCTTCACCATGAATATGTTTTTTTTTTTTTTTTTTTTTTTTTCCTGGTGAAGTCACCTAATTTTTCAACTAGGTCTGATGGTGTCTTGTTGCACAGGGGCTATGTATTTGCCGTTAGTGTCCACAGAGTTCAACTTCTTCTCCAAGTCCTTAGTGTGAAGCGCTTCCATCAGCAGCAACAACAGCAGCAGCAGCAAAATGCCAACACTGCTCAAGAGGAACTAACTCAGTCCGAAATAGGAGAGATATGTGACTACTTCAGTCGCCGTGTTGCATCAGAGCCCTATGATGCTTCTCGTGTTGCATCATTCATTACTCTTCTCACCTTGCCTATATCAGTTCTAAGAGAATTCTTAAAATTAATAGCATGGAAAAAAGGATTAGCGCAGGCACAAGGTGGTGAAATCGCTCCCTCACAAAAACCCCGTATCGAACTTTGCCTTGAAAATCATAGTGGGTTTACTGTGGATGACAATTCTGACAGTTCATCTGCTTCTAAAAGCAATATCCACTATGATAGGCCACATTACTCTGTTGATTTTGCACTGACTGTTGTTCTTGATCCTGCTCACATACCTCATATAAATGCCGCTGGTGGTGCTGCTTGGTTGCCCTACTGTGTCTCTGTGAGGCTGAGATATTCATTTGGTGAAAACCCTACTGTTTCCTTTCTTGGTATGGAAGGAAGCCATGGAGGACGAGCTTGCTGGTTGCGTGCTGATGAGTGGGAGAAATGTAAACAGAGGGTGGCTCGTACCGTGGAGGTTAATGGAGTTTCGAATGGAGACCTAACGCAAGGTAGGCTAAGAGTAGTTGCAGACAGTGTGCAAAGGACATTGCATATGTGCCTTCAAGGTTTAAGGGATGGTGGTGGTGTTACTGCAAGCTCAGTGGCAACATGATGTATTGGTCCCCTGCATGCAACATGCGGTTTTGACAATGGGAATCGTGTTATATGTGTAAAATTTAACAGGGGTTACAGATTCAAAAATTTTGTTGCAGAAGGAACTTTCAGTGCCCGGGGAATGAGGGAAAATGATTTTTTTCGGATGAAGTTGGGAAATAAACTTGCAAAGTTCTCTCGAAAAGGTTGACAGCAGATTTGGATCCGTTTTCCTTCATTTTATTTTACTGATCTAATCTTCTAATAAGTAGGGTCTATCGTATGAGATTTTGAAGATACAGGATATTTTAGCTCTGGCTTTCCTTGTACAGAATCTACAGATTACACTGAGTGGAGACTATGTATAAAATTTTTATTTTTGTAGAATTGTTGTATACCACAAAAGGGACACTTGCAAGATGCCCAAGATTGTCTTTAGAAGCTATCCTGGGATGATTGTTGTAATTACATCTTTGTAGTCTTTTTCAACTTTTGCAAGTTCTTTGTTCTGTTAGAAAATATTACTGTGGGTTTTAGTGCAATGTGTGTCTGCTGCATGGGGTCTGATATATATTTGAGTAAAATGAGTCGAAGAAATGATTTTTGCGTTCTGAATGGTTTACTCATCATTTCAACCACAGAAACTCCCAGCACACGTTTGGCTGAAGTTGCACACAAGTTTACAAAAATCTAGTGGCTTCTCTCTCTTGGTTTTTATTCATATAAAAGCTTGTGATACAATTATTCTTCAAAAAATTGGGCTGAATGTAGACCAGATTTACCTTTCGTTGATAACAGAGACCTCCCATGAGGATCATCAGTGTAATTATCTGCACGCTACAGCATGAGCATTTCCCAGAATGCAACAGCTACGATTACTATAAATTGATCAGAAACAATCTGGGTGTTGAACTCCATGTGTGGCGACATATTAATCCTGAAGTCCCTAACTCATGATCTGCTTATGCCTAATACCCCATCTTTTACATAATACATGATCCCACTAAATGATTTCCCACCAAATTTGCTTGTCATGTAATCTAAATTCTCAAAGAATAAGCTAGCTCTGCATACAAAACAAATATACAGAGTAATAGAATATTAGAACTTGATGTTCTACTAGAGCCATCAAACTATCAAAATTGTACGGTAATAAGGTACATAAAATAGACCCAGATCAACTCATCTCCAGCAAAAGCAATAAGAAGTCCACAGGAAAATCAGCGCTCAACTTCATTTCACTATTCAACGTACTCATAATGGACTGCATGTCTAACCATCTTGGATGCCGCTTATCTGCAGCCACAAAATCATGAGTATGTACATCAACAACAACACTACTGCAACCTGCAGTTTTCTTCACTCCCCTGCTTTCCATGATCTCTCTAATCTTGTCAGAATAGCTCCACTTCTTGTTAGCAGCATAAATGTTAGATAACAATACATATCCACCCTCTTTTTCAGGCTCCAACTTTAATAACTCTCTCAAAGCTATCTCTGCAATTTCCACATTCCCATGAGCTCGACAAGCACTCAGAATTGCTCCCCAAATGGATTGGCTTGGTTTCATTGGCATCTTTTCAATGACATCTTTTGCGTCAGCCAACCTCCCTGATCGCCCTAAAAGATCCACCAAACATCCATAATGTTCAGTTGTTGGTTCAATACCAAACTCTTCCTTCATGCTATTAAATAATTTAAGCCCTTCATCCACAAGTCCAGAGTGACTACAAGCTGAAAGAACAGCAACAACAGTCACATTGTTCGGTCTTACCTCCTGTTGCATCTCTGAAAACAGTTGCAAAGCTTTTTTTCCATAACCATGAAATGCAAATCCAGAAATCATTGTAGTCCATACAGTGACATCCTTTTCAGTAACCTCCCTAAAAACTTTGAAAGCTCTTTCAATACTTCCACACTTGCAATACATGTCTATCAATGCTGAACCGAAAAAGGCATCTGTTTTAATCTCCATCCTCACCACCATTCCATGTATGCATCTCCCTTGGTCCAGAATACCAACTTCTGCTGCGACTGAAACCACGTTAATCATTGTAACATTATCAGGCATAATTTTCTGAGCAACCATGTTATTGAATAATTCTCTCACCATCATATAATCACCACTTTGGGCATAGCCCGCAATCAAAGAATTCCAAGAAACCAGATCCTTACTAGGCATTTGATTAAAGAGATTTTGTGCACTTTCCAACTCCCCAACCTTGGCAAACCCAGCAATCATGGTATTCCACGTAATAACATCCTTCACCATTAATATGTCAAATGTGCTTTCCGCAAGCTCTAATTCCTCACTTTTAACATACATATCTAGAAGAGCATTGCCCAAGATCAAATTTGATGAGATAAAGTGTTTCCTCCTTTCCATCCAAGCATGAACAGACTTCCCCAGCCGCACATCAGCTAACTGACCACAACAAACAAGAAGTCCTAACATGGTAAATTCATCAGGTTGAAAACCTGAAACCACCATTTCATGGAATAGTTTGATTGCCTCCAAACTATATCTCTTCTTGGCATAGCCAACAATCATGATATTGAAAGAAGCAACATCTGGTCTTGGCATACACAAAAACGTCTTATGAGCAAGACCCATTTGCCCATTCTCCGTATACATCTTAATGAGTGAGTTCTGCAAATAACCATAAGAAAGCAGTCCCATAACAATGGCATGACAGTGTATCTGCTTTACCTCTATTATATATTTAGCGGCCTTTAGCAAGTAAAGGAGAGTGTATTTATCAGGCCAAAAACACAACCTAAGCATAGAATTGTAGACAACAAATGCTTGACCAGTGGAAAAACTCAAAGCTGATATCATGGTATTGTAGATGTAGAGATTTGGTCGAGGAGTAAAGTAAGTAAAGAGAAGAATTGCCATGTCTAAGTTTTCAGGGTTTGTAATTGAAGTGGATAAAATGAGTCTGCTCATGGGAAATGTTTGGCCAATGAGATTAGACCTCATCATCTGCCCCAAAATCTGTTTAAAATGATCTCTTGAACTGCACTTTTCAAGCAAAACCAGAGTAGGGTGATTGAGTTCAAGTGATACAGTTGGATCCCAGTTGGTTCTGTTTGCTGCTGAGGTAAAACTGAGGAAGCGAATACCTCTCCCAAACCGATACATAGATAAACATCCAATAAATGAACAAATGCTCAAAAGCTAAGCAACTGCCAAACGGACTTCTATCTATGAAATAATGATATAAGTTCAACATAGCCAACCCTTAAATCATCAGTAACTACCACTCAAATTCCAAAAAGTTTCCACTTAATCTTACATATATGATCAATATCATTCACATGCCAAAAGTTTCCACTTGCCATCAACAAAAAGAGAGCAATGCAGATTCTATCTTGGACCTCTATCAACACAAACCATTATATACTACAGATTCTTATACTAAAGAAAAAATTATTCTAACTATCAAACAGAAGTGACTTTCTTAGGCTATATATCTATCACCGAGAGTTGAAAATCTTGACCCTTCAAGAACTGTATTTGCTCAACATCCACAAGTCCTTCTTAAAACACCAACATTTTGTAGTTTGATATTCGGACTTTTATATCCCTGCGCAATTCAACAAAGAATTTGCTCGAAGACTGATGCATGAAGTTAACATATCAAAGATGAAACAATTAAGAATCTGACAACACATACATAGACCATTTCAGTTTCTCTAAGAGGGTTTTAACGTCAGGGAAAAAAAAAAAAACTCAACCGTGCAATCTACAAAAATGAATCTTGGGCAATTCTGCAGAGTGGGCTGAGTGGAAGTGTCCAATAAAAACAAATTGAATTACCCAGAAAACATAATATAAAAGAAGCTGCTGTGAAAGAACATGACTGCTACTCACCAAATATAAACGTGAAATCTAAGAGATAGTAATATCAAGTTCTTCCGATGAAGAAAAACCCTGTTTCAAATGGCTTGGCATCGGGATTCTGTGGGTCGGGTCTTGAACACCTAAATGGACTGGCTCGGCCCGGCCTGATAGTTATTTATTTATTTTCAGTATCTTTTGCGTTTGATTGATGCTCTCAAATTCAAAACTATTGAGTTTAGGTTATAAATAAGTTGGTAGTTTATTATCCACTAGGTAGCTTGATGATAAAAAAATAAAAAAAAATTTCATGAGTTCTTGAGTTTGAGTTCCTTTAAGTACTAATAGAGGTGGTTATTGAAAGTTATTTCAGAGATTAATTGAAATATGTGTAAACTGATTTAAACATCTCTGTTGATAAAAAAAAATATTTATTTAACTTTAAATTTTACTCACCCTACATATTTTTACATATTTTTAATTCAAAACTATGAGTTTAGGTTATTAAAAAAAAAATGGTTAAGATATCGTGAATTAAAATTTTAACTTAATTTTAAACAATTTATATGAATAGTTAATCCAAGTGTGATAAGAGAGAAGTTAAAATAATTACATTTAACGCCAACTTAGTGTCTCTCAACGCAATTAAATGAATAAAAATGAACTGTTAAGAAGTAAATTTCGAAAAAATAAGTTAAACATTTAAGAAATTATATGATTTAGCCTTATTTTAGGGTGTAAAATAAAATTTAACCCATTTTAAAAAGTATCTCATGAAATAGCTTAAACTCATTTTACTCATTTTTCAAAGACAAAAATACCCTCATTCACGATTCTTAAAACACTAAATCAATAACACATATAACCCATTTTTCAAAACTAAAATCTCTATCAAAAACATGTTAATTAATGTATTCTTTGTTAGATGAATTTTGTATATGTTGTTTGAATTTATAATTAACCGCTGATGTTGAAAATGAATGGTTTGCCTGGTTTTCACAAAATTTGGGTTTGGTTATTGATGGTCTCAGTAAAAAAAAAAATTGTTTGTAGATTGAAGACGGTAAGTGATTGATCCATCCCCCCTCCCCCAATCGGTCACGTATTAATCATTTGACCATAACTTGTGTTGAGTGATAGATGGTATCAATTATTTCTCATCTTTAACTTTGTGATTGATCTTGGACCAATACCATCAATATGTGCCGATAGGCAATCCCAAGTTTCGTTAACAACATAAAAATCTTTTGATTTTCAACATCTTCCAAACAACCAACATTAGCATGCTCCTTACACATATATTTAACTCCAACATAAATAATTTTTTTTTTTTTTAAATTTAACTCGAACATAACCTATCTTTTTTTAATTTTTTAATCACTCAAGAGCTCAATAAAATCACACAATATCACCTCCGGAAAATCAAAAAATGTATTGATTTGGTAGAGATTGGAGTTATGAAAAATGGGTAAGATGAGTTTTGATTAAGTTAGACTATTTTAATCCTTTCAGAAATTCAGTTATTTAAAACTTAAATCTTATTCACTTGTTATATTTCATGATAACCCTTTTTGTCCTTTTTCTTTTGGCAAATAATCATATTTCAACTTTATTAATCTATTTACTTCAGCCTTAGAATGAATGAAAAACTATGGCTTAACTATGAAAATGGGTGGGATCATTTGTGAGATGCTAAACTATAAGTGATGCAAGATCCAAAGGTTTTGGAAGTATACATGGATTTACACCAAATGGCCATGAAATCAAATGCCTAAATTGGTGACTTCTGAGTACTGACAATCGTTATGCTTCAAGAAACTCAACTCCACTACTGGGAAACTACATATACCCTAGTAAATAGGATTAAGGACTTATTGACATAGTAGAAAAAAACTATGAGGAGTTGGGCTAGCCGTCAACAAAGTTTTCTCTCTTCACCAACTTCTTGGGTTCAGATCTTAGAGTCACCTATCATATACGTGACTTACCTTGAAACATTGGATGTGTAGTGTGTTCAATGGGCTTTTTTGAGTTCGAATTTTAGGGTCACTTACCATATATGTGACTTATCTTGAAATATTGGATTTGTTGGGTATTTTATAGGCCTTATGAATTAATTGAGGTATACGCAAACTGACCTAAATACCCCGGTCATGAAAAAAAAAGAAAAAAAAGAGTAAGTGGACACCAAATATCACTAATACAACACACCCAAAAACTTCTGCAATTCTTACAGGGATATGTTAAAGATTCCATTCTTTATTCTCACAGCTAACAGGCTCCATTGTTGCTCTCCTGATAAACAAATCATATTTCAGTCATGGTACCCTATTGCTCTCTCTCTCTCGCCATTAGCTCTTTGTTCGCTATCAAATGTCAATTTTGAAAGAAAAGGCTCAATTTACTTTTGCATAAGAAACAAACTCACCCGATAAAAAATGTTAGCAGCACAATTATTATCAGTTATTTATTTTTCAAAACCAGAAGCTTCCAAACATGCTTTAGAAAACAATCAACCATTTAGATATATCAACTTGCATTTAAATTTTTCTTCAAATACATCATACACATACCTATCTATCCCTTTTAAAAGGTCCCACATTGCACTAACCAAAAAGAAAGAAAGCGAGTTCCCACTTCCGGTATTTTGGTCATCCTCCACTAACCCCACCACAGATATTTCAGAGCAAGTACATTAATTCAGCTTTGAAATATTTTTACTTCGAATTGACCATTGCTTAGCATCAACTGCCTGTGAGTCACTCCTTGTTTGACAAAATTGTAAAGATGAATCAACACTTGCACTGGACTTGATTGTTTTTTCGAATGTAGTTAGAAATTGGAGCTAAGTATAAAATCTACCGCTGTTGTGACTGCTACAGGATTTGGGACCCCGATGCATGCCAGAAAATCCATCATGTGAAACTGCAATTCCTGTTCAGGTCTATGAAGGGGTGTTTGATTCAGGCTTGATGTACGGTTGTGCATCCGGCTGATGGCTCTGGAAGATTGCATTGGCAAGTGATATAGGCATGATACAAAGCGCCTTGGACTGAAGGAACTGCATTGCAGCGCCAACATCTTCTTCCATTAGCTTAGCTACTTCTTGTTCTGTTCCATCATTTGACCACTTCTCCCAAGCTGGCTGATTGGTTCCACCGTCAATGCTCTCTCCCTCAATCACGCATGGATAAGAAGTAAATCAATAATTCAAAAAGAATACTTTGAAAATACAATGGGTGGAAAAAGACAGAGCACTTGAAAGTTGGATCAATTGAGATATTTAAAAAAAAAAAAAAAAAAAGTTTCGAAAATGTACTACCTCAACTGACGATAGAGGTACATCCGCTACTAGCTGAGCCACAGCACCAGCTGCACCCAATCGACTCATGCTCAAAACCTGTTCAAACATATCAATGAAATGAAAATGACATGTAAACCAAAAACAATGATAGTAATGTAAAAAGAGGTTAGGAAGGTGGAAAAAAAATGTACTAACACATTCTATTCTATTAAAAAAATGAGATATTCAGCCCAGAGATTTCAGCACCAGACAAGAGTCATTTTAGGCTTCACTCCTGACAGCTTCGTTTAATTAAAGCAATGGCTTAAGGTCATTATAAATGTCAAGGATAGTCAAATGACAGGGCCTACCACAGTACAACAATGTTGGGACTTCCTAAAGACATTGGAAGACAATTATCAAGGCGATTTGTTGGAATTAGTTACAACTTTGGACAGCAATGATTAGTTCAATAGATAGTCCGAACGTCATGTGCAAGAGGGACCGGCCATAGACAACACCCGTGGAAGTATTTACAAATGCAAAGATCTTAATTTATGGCTCACTGATCCAGAAAGATATTTAACAAATAATACAGGAGAGATAGTTAATCTTTTTCTATATGAATCCAATTGGGTTTTTGATTGTCAATACCTTGACCTGAAGCCTCAGAAACTTCACATAATCCACAATTTCGTCAAGCATGGCTGCCCTATCCGTCTGAAGAGAAACGTACAGTGTATTATTAGGTATGAATCAGCAGGAAATTTAAGCTTAAATTGAACCCAATGGATTCCCAAAAGATAAAAAAGCAAACTCAGTGAGCTTGTCTTGCAATTTACAAAATACAAATGCATACGTCCAAACAGTACTTGATATAAGAATTACAGTATAGCCTAGCCAAAGCAATGAAAATGAAAAAATGGTTTCATTCCACCTTTAGCCTACTTCCTTGGGCAAATATTGAAAGGTGTAAGGAATGCAACTGAAGGTATCAATAAAGTAACTGCAGTGAAGAGATACTAACCTTGTTGCAACTAGGAACCAACTCCTGCAAAGCCTTCATTCTTTCTGCAATTCTTTCCCTACGTAACTGCATACCGAAGAACAAACCAAAGTGTGCAATCAAAGAATGAGAAACGGCCATAGAATGTCAAAAACAAATAACAAGTATAGAATCTGAACAATGATCAATATTAAATCTGGCAGGAAAAACATCTTCTGAAAGAATAATTATGCAGGGTCAGAAGTCCCATCTTAGAATCAGATTAGGCAGAAGTATTTAAGCAACCAGCTATCCTTATCCAACTTATAAATTCAAGACTTGCACCCTTTCATCAAGCCATCGACAATAAAACCAATACATGAAGCTATAAATCATACTGCATAAGTAAACAATATTGAAATATTTTCCATCTCAAAACTCTATTTGGTAGTGAGACTTTGTTAATCATACACGTATTTCAGGTTCAATGACGGGTACCTTAAATGTTTTACAATACTTTTCACGGAAGAAAAAACCTACAATGCCTGATTTTTTAGTCTTAATAACCATAGATCACGCTTACCCTCTCAGCAATACTATGAGGATCAGTGGCTTGTCCTCGTCTTGCTCTCACCCTTGGGCGGATGGCAGAAGGTTGCGGTACAGCAGGAACTCCTGGTGTTTGTTGGCCAGGAAATGGCTGCATAATGATTTTTAAATGATGCAAACACAATAATAGTTAGAAGAACATGTATTAGGAAAACTCAACAACAAATATTTATGATTTTACAAGAATGCATTGATGTTACAGCATAAAAATATCAGCAGATTTCATGGTAATTAATTGTATACATGACATTAACATTTACTCATATCATAACCTATTCTTTCTATCTTTTAAAAGTTCTCAAGGCAGGTAATTAAAAAATTTATTTTAGACTAAATCATACTAAATATCTAACGTCAAACTAGTATTAAAAACAATTTCTTTTAGGCGTGTTATTATTTTTATATATTGAACCCAACTAGCTTCATCTTTAGCTGATGTAACTCAGAATAAGAAATATTGATCAAGAAATTCAACATATAAAGAATAATCAGAAGATAAACATTGCAACCAAGTTTGAATTTAAGTCCCTCAAATCATGCCTATAAACCGGAAATCAAATTAAACAAGGGTTTGGACTGAATCAACCATGAACCTACACAACCAAATTTTTCACAAAGTCAAAAACTTGGACAAAGAATATGAAACTTTGAAACCAACTTACGTAAGTCAACTTAATAGGGGAAGGAGCGTGTAACAGACACGCTCAATTGCAATTGTGAAAGCGCGTGATGCAGAAAACTTTGAAGTGTAAAAATAGACAAAGATTACCACTACAAATGGTGAAAAGGACAACTGAGTCCTCATTACATTAAGATGACATAATAACAATAGCATAGTTCTCCGCACGTTTGCAATTGCTCGCACGTGCAGGACACATTCTGTCTGTCAGTACTCTGGGTCACTTTCCACTAGAGAGTAAAAGAAAGGAACCGCCCCACTCTCTATAGAAACGCGTGCACATCACAGGCCTAGACCCTCGCGATTACAATTTTACCCACTAGATTATTCTCGAAGACAAATACACCCCAAACCTCTAAACCCACTTGAAAGATAAATAATTTGTATAAATAAATGCAATAATTTGAAGTAATTAATGAAATAGATGGAAAAGTTAAAAAAAGAAAAAGATAATCACAATTTTCTCAGTTTCCCCTAAAAGAAAAATAAAGAAATTAGTTTAAGGCGCCTTTAAAAATGTTTTTTTCTAACACTTTGATCTTTTTTTTTTTTTTTTTAACCAAAAGATCCTAAATTTGGAGAAATTTTTTGTTAAAAAATTTAGAAATATTTTTTTCTAACCTTGTTGTTTTTATTAAGAAAATTAAAGTAAATTTTTTTTCCACCACATAAAATAACTAAAATTCACAATATGATAATAATATTTGACAAAAATAAAATAAAAGGGTATTTTGGTACCTGACGGAGTTGTGGCGGGCGTGGCGGTGACGGCCGTAGTGACTGAGTTTGCAACTGTCCAAACGCTGGAAACAAACTTGGCATGTGCACCGAATCTCTCTCCTACCACAAAGCACAAAACATTTAACATGACGAAATTACCCTCTTAATTCCCTCCATTTCTCATCAAAACCAATCCCATGTATTATTACTAATATTTTCTGAGTTGATATTCCCAGGGAAAGGATGCGAGAATTTATCAAACAAAATTCAACCCCAACTTGAGGAAAACCTCATCACTTCACGAAAGCATTCACATGTATTCTCAACATAATTGATGTAAATATAAATATATAAAGCAACTGACAACTCTATGAATCTGTCAGAAAATTGCCGGTAAATTTGCAGCAGTCCAAAAGAAAAATTCGTAGTACAACACAACTATAATCACAGTGTCTGGTTATTGTATGGGCAAAACTAAGAAAATCAAGCTGGTTTGTTCGCTGATGGTTTCGTAGAAGCTAGATAGCACATGAAAGAAGAAATAAAAGAGAAAAAAAGAAATAACACTTTCTTTTTTGTTGCCGAAATTGGGATAGAAGACAGATGAAACCCCAGAAAAATGACTAGTCAATCAAATGGTAACCCTAATCAGAGGCACAAGGACAAACAGTTGGGGAAAAACGGAAAGAAAAGTTTAAAGAAAGTCTTACGTTGATTGCAGAAGTAGTTGAAGAATTAGGAGAAGAAGAAGCATTATTGTTAGTGTTGTTATCTTCTTGTCTCAAGAACCCGTGTTCCAAATTCAAGCCTAAAGGCATCATATTCATGTTCATGCCCATCCCCATCCCCATCCCCATACCCATACCCAAGCCTCGCATGTCACCAACACCAACGGCGGCAGCAGCACCAGAACCCAGTTGGAGGAACATGGGCATGGTTGAACTGGAGCCGACTTCACCAGTGGGTTGAGCAGTTGAATACCCAGAAGGATGTGCCAATATTTGCTCAAAGAAATCATCTCCTAAACCTTCTTGTCCATTGCCAGCCATGATGAGGAAGTGAAGTAAATAGAGTGAGTTGAGTTATTGAGGGTTTGTGTTCGTGAGAAGTTGAATAAAGTGGAGTTGCTTTTAAAGGGACATTATATGTGGAGGATTGGGGAGGTTTGAGAACCCGAGAAAAGTGAGGTGTAGGGGAATTGGGAGGCAGATCCAGAACCCGATAACCCGGAAAGGAGAGTGGGGAGTTCAAGGAGGTGGAGAAGGAGGAGGAAGAGGATTAAGGGGTGTGTGTGTGTTTTGAATTATAAAAGATTTAATTGTGTTTTGTAAAGACAAAGAGTTGCAGAGAGAGAGAGAGATATGGGTCTGTGAAGAGGATTAATGTTGTTTAGTTTTGGCTTTTGGAGTTGTGGTGACTTGTGTTTGTGTTATGTTCGAGTGGGTGTTAAATATTGTAAATGGATGAATGGGAAAGTTTTTTATTTGCGTATAATGGACTGACACAGCCCTACGCGCTTCTCAAGGCTTTTGTTTTTACTATTTCTTTTTATAAGTAATATTAGCATTTTTATACACCTAATAATTGATTGAGTAAAAATTTATTTTTAATTTAAATTAGTCATGTTGTATAAAAAATATTATTTATGTAATACAGTATTATGGATTTTTTTTCATTTCGTTTCTAAATCAGAATAAGAAATCAAATTTTGGGACCATACTATAATAACTATCCATCACATTCAAAGTAAAGATAGATTATGAAAAAAAAGAATTTTAAATATTAAATATTTTATAATATAATAGGTAAATTGGGTATATTAATAATTAAATAAAGTTTAGAAATATAATATCTAAAGTAGATATATTGATAATTATGGAAAGTCTATGGTACTACGATTAGTAATAATACAATAATAGTATTATTAAAGTGGCATCACAAATTAGTGCATATATACTATGTAGTTATTGTATTTAGTAACTATGATTCATAACAATTTTTTTCTCATTTTTATTAAAAATTTATATATTGCTTCTATATTTTTTTAACAAAGTAATTCAAAATTTAAATTTAATATTAATAATCAATATATTAAAAAGTTAACATTATATATTTTTTTTTTTTTGTAGGTACCTGAGGTACCCAAGCCCACATTGGAGCCTGTCTAAACCTCATGGTCACATAACACCTTACAAGCCTAATGAACCAAAATAATTGCCCAAATATGGTAGATACTTCTTCTCCGACTCGAACAGAAGACCCTTGGGTATAATTAACTTCAGTGGCTAAAGAGTTTGTCATCCGACCACAAGCTAAGAGGTTTTTTCATAGGATAATTAAATAATGTATTATTCCATAGAGACATAGACATGCACCTTTGATCCCTAAATAAAGAGTTACTTACTCTATACATAAATATTCATCATCCAACTCATGAATCTCTTTCATTGATTTCTAAGAGGTAGAAGACTTGGAAAGTTGCATATATTATTAGTCTCGCTTGTGCTTAAAGTTGGAGAAAATTGAAGCTCTAGTCTTCCTTGACTTTGGAATTTACTTATTTTATCACTAATTCATTACCCACCGTGAACGAAAACAATTCTAGATTGTCCTATAAGCTTCATCGTACTAAAAAAAAACCCATTTCCTGATTAAATGAAAATAATAAAATATCTTGAATAAAAAGTAATACTATTATTAAAGCATTCTTGTCCCCATTACATTCCAAAGAAAGACTACTATAAAGTTTGTTTTTTAGATTTCCATTTTATAAATTTGCTATTAATATTTTCACCCAATTCAATATTTTAACCTCTCACCAACTTTTGCCCTTTAGAGTTGCCCATTTCTTTTCACTAAATTTGGGCAATCGATAATATATATATTAATTACATGGTGTGTATGAGAGTCTATTATTCCCTATGGATGTTCACCTCAGAGATCCATCAAACTAGTGATCAATTAGCCAATCAAAAGAAAAGGTTTTTCATCAATACTTTACTTTGCAACATAAATAATGAAATAATCATATTTTATTAAAGTTTAGTGATTTTAAATAATTAAATCTTTTCTATTGAGTCATTTATTTTAGTTGTTTAATTTTGCAATTTAAGACTATGAATATCCAAAATATCCCTATCTAAATTCTTTAATTCCAATTATCACACTTAATAAGGAAATAAATATGTATTATTATTTATTTTCTTGTAACTATTGTAATTTTTTTAAACAATTTTGTTATATATTATCAATTGATGGTTTATAACGCAAACTATATATGTTTATGGGTTATGAAAATAAACAACTTAATACTTATGATTCAATCCTACGTATTCAAAGTTATCTAACAGTTAGATCTATCTAGTCGTCGAAGAAGTTAACAAATGCCACAACTATCTCTGGGTGGTCAAGCGGTTCGATATGAACTCCTAGGTGTATTACTAAAGGGATCCTGAGTTCGAATCCCTCCTCTGGTGTTAAGAGTAATGTTATGCTTACAACTGAGTCATACAACCAAACAAATAACAAAATAGTCATTTTATAAAAATTTTGTGCAATTTTTGTTTGGTTATATGACTCAGTTGTAAGCAAAACATTATAGGGGTGCTAATAGGGATAACCATTAGAGTTCTTACCTGATCGGTAGCTCCAAGACCCTGAAAGATTAGTTAAGGTGCACGTAACCTGATCCAGACACTCCGATCATTAAAAAAAAAAAAAAGCACACCGCCTAAATGTATATTTAACAAATAGAATTAAATAGATTTCAAGGATGGGTTTTGATAAGATATATTTAACATAGCCTAAAGCTCTTCTTCTGCCTTTAGCTTCTCTCATTATGCATAATTTTTTTTGTTGTAAGATAAACAACCCTATGTCTCCCTTTTACCCATTTAATTAAGCTATATCTTTGTGATGTTTACTTTCTTAATGTAAATGTAAATGCAAATCCAAATCCAAATATCACAAGTTTATTCCACAGAAAAAGTGGGACTCATTTAACACCTCTTCCTTTATTCTATTTGTTTTAGCCTCAACCATTTATAAAGCGTGTATAACATTAAAAAGGCCCACCCAAAAGGTGAACCTTGGCCCATAAGTCATGGTACTTTAGAGGAACAATTAAAAAAAGAAAAAAAAAATTTCCCACGAAGCAAACCAAAAATCAAATTGAATGCAACTAGACTGGCTTGATAATTGATCATTATGGAGTTTTCAAGTTTCCCAAATCTACTGAACCAACTTCAAATTTGAAATAAGTCCTGTCGAACCCTACAATCTTTGAGAAGCTAAATGCTTCTAAGCCAGCTTGGTTTGTGGATACAGAATTTAAAGAACTAAAGAGTTTACAATTAACACATCAAGAGAAATAAATTTCATCTAAAGTTAATGCTAAACTAGTCTTCCAATTTCTTGAACAAGGCCTCCTAAAAATGAAAATCAACCAACGCCTCACATAACTGATATAATTTATTTTTTCATAAATGAACTTTGCTTGTTCTAAACTCATCAATACAACAATGGAAGGTTTATAAAGTTTACCAACTAAACAAAAAATTCTAATCTCATACACTTTCCTTTGAGCTTGGGACCTTGTCGTCTTGTTTCTCATCTACACTGACTGCTGTAGGATTCTCCGCAGGCGGGTCTGTTTCAGAATCAGGATTCTTTTTAAGCTCCGACTCAAACTCCTTCGCAGCCTGCAAAATTTTAAGCACACATCATTTAATAGTCATAAGATGCCACCCAAGAGTATTGGTTAGAATTTGTCAAAAGCATATGATATTATTCATTGTAGATATTATTCATTGTCAAGACTACAATGAATAATATCATATGCCTGCGTTTGTTTAATTATTTCACCAATATCCTATCCTTATTCCAAATACAAATGCACGTTTGTTTCCTTATTTTCAAAATCATATCCTAAATTAAGAAATTATTTTAAACCCCCTAAGTTTGTTAATTAACAAAAACACCCCCAACAAATTCTTTTTTATAAATTAACAAAAACACTCCCACCCACCGATAGTTGTCAGATTCCGGCAACCACTGTCGGTAGTGGCCAGAATCTGTCACAATGGCACACTACTGGCCGGTGATGCGCCAATCTGGCAGTCGATCTGGCCCTTTCTAGCTAGATCCGTGGTGGATTTGGCCGGAAAAAGCCAGATCGGCAAACGACTAGCTAGATCCGGCCGATCGTGCACCATAATGCCAGATTCCGACAATGGTGGCCAGAATTTGGCCACTGTGGGTAGGTGGGAGTATTTTTGTCATTTTACAAAAAATTTATATATTGGAGTGTTTAGTTAAATTAGCAAACCTAGGGGTTTTTTTTTGTAAATTTTTAAATTCTACCTCGTAATAATCACCCAACTCTACTTTCCAATAATATTTCAAAAATACTATTCAAAATAATAAAACAAACACACCCGTCTTAATCAGAAATCTTAACAATTAATTGCTAATGTGACAGAACATTTAGTATGGGAAACCCCCACAAAAGATCCAATATTTTTTCCTTCCATATGGGTGGTTGCTTGGCAACAATTAAACTACAAAAAAATACACAGGTCTACTTGGACCAATAATTTGTTCCATTTCTTGAGAAATTAGTGAACAAGAAATATCACACCAGTTTAGGTTGGATTCACAGAAAGTGCAATCTCAATATATATGGTTCTCCAATTTACTGGTAGTTTCACACATCTTTTACATAGATGTTTCATAGTACTGGTCCAAAATGAAAAACCCAATTGAGAGAACAAGCCTTCTCTTGCAAGATATATAGGCTATTGCTCGTTGCTACCGAAAGGCGATAAGATATATGGGTTATTGCTTAGGTGTCACATTCAACAACCAATTGGAAGAATTTCCTTCTTTTATTAAACTTGATTGTGTTTAAGGCACCCAAATGTTTTAGTAGTACCTTAGCTATAAATTTGTAAAATATTCAGTGTATAAATCAATTAGTCATGTGTTTGTCAAAAACTTCTGGGAATAAACATCTAAGTGAAATGAGAAAAGTATAGGACTGCCAAAAGGTGAAGTCAAATAGTAATGAAACAAAACTGCATGTTCTGATGGATAAAAGCACCACATTTCAATTAATTCTCTTGAACAAGAGAAAATGGGTAAAACCTGTCAATTATTATATGGTTGTCATGTAATTGGTGATACTGAAGAGAAAGTTGTGTACAGTTAAATTTTACAAAAGGCTCCACTAACGATGAAGAAAAATTAAAAAATGTTTCTTTTTTGTATCAAGTGCAAGTTTTCCCCCTCTGTTAGATACCCTGGTCACAGGTTTGTAAAGATTTTACTTGTTTTCTGGAAAGGGCAGTACATGCTCTAGTGGGACTTAAAATTTTTAGGTAAACAGTCCTGGTTTTTAAAGAGATTATTGTAACAAATCTAGATCAAACCATTTACACCCGTTGTTGTAATATGAAGATGTCCAGCAAATTAGGTGGAAACCTTATGACTAAAAATGTAACAGACAAATCAAGGAAAGTTTTTCTCCTTCCTAGAAATCAAACCCAAAACCTATTTTTCAACACCCTCAACTCTTCAACAACCCGATTGGGAGCACTAAAGTGAAACAGTTATTAGCAAGATCAATCAAACAAACTAAATGACTGCATTTTAACCATTCACAGACAGCTCTACTGGTAATTGAAGTGATCCAAAAATAATTCCAGATATTAATAACTGGAAGAAGAATACAAATAAGCTTCACCAATGAAAACACAGGAAGTGATCTTTCAAATGCTAAAGTAGATAAAACTACATCAGGCAGCACAACCACATCAATCTACAAGGCAACCATAGATCACAATGATCACACACGAGAAAAGATCATATATGTATAGAGATAGAATCTCAGGCAAACGAGTAATGCATTGAATATCTCAAAACAAGGTCTCTGCAAAAAGCTCACCACAATGATAGTCAACAAAAAAATATTTTAATTAATGCCTCACTCATTATTCGATCTTTCGCAGAAACACAAAAGTATAACTAAGCAAAACAGATAAAATTCCAAAGCTTTAGATTTTAAATCATCCACCACCTTCTTTGAACTCGAATTATTACAGGAATCTGGTGTGCTTAAGAAGTTAGTTCTTGTGTCTGATATTTAAAATAATATAAACACACTAATTGGAAGAAAAAAAAAAAAAGTCCTACGCTCTTCGACTCAGTAATAAAATAAAACTAGATCAACATAAGATTCAAGATTTTTTTCCCTTCTCTGTTATCTAAGCTAACATACCAAGTTTTAAACAAAATTTACAAAACTATATAATCTACTAGGACTCTACACAATTATTTCACTAATCTCACTAATAAATTTTATCATTCATTCATCAATTTACCACAAACCCCAAATGGGAAAAGAAACAAAAAAAGCTCAAAACTTTCCCTTCATTTCATTCATTTGATCAAAAACCAAACAGACCCAGATTAAAAAACAAACCAACCAACCTGTTGGAAGCTCTTGACGGTCTTGCCAATACTCCTGCCCACTTCAGGCAACTTCTTGGGACCAAATACCAAAGCAGCGACTCCAGCAATAACTACGAGTTCAGGCACACCAAGACCAAAAATAGCATTGCAAGAAAAACCCTTCTTGGGGTTTTGAGTTTTTGCTCTCCGTTGATTCAGAACCAAGGAACTAGTTTTGAAGTTAGTTCTGCTGAAAGGAGGACCGGTGGTGAAGAAAGTGGAGTGAGAAGAAGAGATGGGAAGAGAAGGCGGCGGTAAAGGTCTTGTTGAAGAAGAGAGAGGGAGAGTCAAAGAAGAAGAGATCTCCATGGTGTTTGTGTTAATGCTCAGATTTTGTGTGTTTCGGAGTTGAAGAAGGTAGATAACATTTTGACTTTGGTGGGTTGCGGAGTTTTCGGATTTTGCGGCTTGAGTTTGACTATTTTGACTCAGCTCGGAGATTCTACTTTTGGGAATTTATCAGAGACGTCCCTAGGGTTTCCCGATTCTAATACCTTCCCTTACATTTTAGAATTCATCACATAAATCCTTTACAGTTTAGACTAAGACAAGGACTAAGACAAGTAATGGACAGAAGTAGGAATTTCTTACTTACATTTGAAAATATTAATATCATCACACTTGGGTCTAATTATGATGCACGTGAATCTTTCATCGTTGGCTTCATCAAACTCACTGAACATCGAACTATGATATGATATGGTGTTTGGCAATAACGAAGAAGGCAAAACGAAAGGGCAACCAATAATTTTGAGAGAAATTAGATGTAATAAGTGACCAGTGAAGAATGAAGGTGCACCACTTGCATCATAAAATCTTTTGTTCTAAATTTGATCAATTTTGTATTTCTTGTCGTTAAGAGATTATCTTATCACCTTTGCTTATTGTCGAAATCTTATTTAGTATAAAAAAAAAATTCATAAAAGGGAAAAAAATTTAAGAACACACTAAAAAATGTTCATTCAAGATCATTTATGTAATTTTTGCTTTTCCATTAGTTTGACTATTGCCAACAAAAGGCATGTAATGATTTTTCAGAAGAGAAGGGGTAGTCTAATGCTTTTTGATATATAGGAGAGGTCGTGCATTTCAAGAAATTAAGAGCACTTCCTTGATAAATAGTCATCATTTTTAATGTTTGGACTACAATTATATTTAGATAAATGAGTAAAGATTTTTTACGCCTTGGCGGCTATTCCTCTGCTTAACATTCAACACCCACATGAACTCTCTTCCATGGCACAGATGCCTCGCGCTTCTGAACCTCAAAACACTCGCCACAACCCACTTCCAGCAAATACATGCCCAATTCATCACCAACTCCCATAACTCACCTACTCTTTATGCCAAACTCATTCAGCTCTATTGTTCTAAACCATCTCCACTATCCATCAAAATTTCCCACCTTTTATGCTCTCGCTTTCAGCCCCCTAACCTCTTTCTTTTCAACACTTTGATACGTTGCACTCAACCTCAACACTCCCTTCTTCTTTTCGCCAACTGGGTCTCTAAAGCTCTCTTACTTTTTGATGATTTCACTTATGTTTTTGTACTGGGATCTTGTGCAAGATTTTGTTCACTTTCAACTCTGTGGTTTGGTAGACAGATACATGCACGCGTAGTGAAACATGGTTTTATGTTTAATGTTTTGGTGCCAACTACTTTAATTCATTTTTATGCAAGCAATAAAGATGTTATTTCTGGTAGAAGAGTGTTTGATGAAATGACTGTGAGAAGTTGTGTAACATGGAATGCTATGTTAACTGGGTATTGTTCAAAGAGCAAAAAGGCTAAAGATTGTGCCTTTGATGCGTTGGTATTGTTTAGGGAGATGTTGGTTGGTATTAATGGAGTGAAACCTAATGATACTACCATGATTTGTGTTCTTTCAGCGTGTTCACAACTGGGTGTGCTAGAAACTGGTGCTTGTGTTCATGGGTATATAGAGAAGACTATTTACTTGCCCGAGAATGATGTGTTTATTGGTACTGGTCTTGTTGATATGTACTCGAAATGTGGGTGTCTTGACAATGCTTTATTAATTTTTAGGCTGATGAGAGAAAAGAATGTATTGACATGGACTGCATTGGCAACTGGATTAGCTATTCATGGGAAAGGAAATGAAGCAATGATGCTTTTGGATTCAATGAGGGCTTGTGGTGTCAAGCCTAATGCAGTGACTTTCACTAGCTTGTTTTCTGCTTGTTGCCATTCTGGCCTGATTGAAGAGGGACTTCATTTGTTTCATAACATGAAGACTAAGTTTGGCGTTGAGCCTTGTATACAACATTACGGCTGCATCGTTGATCTTCTTGGCAGGGCTGGGCACTTAAAAGAAGCATATGATTTTATAAAGGGTATCCCAGTTAAAACAGATGCTATCTTGTGGAGGAGTTTCTTGAGTGCTTGCCATGTTCATGGGAATGTTGTGATGGCTGAGAAAGTTGGGAACATCCTCCTCCAGCTACAGCCAGAGCTGACTTCTCCAGATATGCGTGGGACTAGTGAGGATTATGTAGCTTTGTCAAATGTTTATGCTTCAGCTGAAAGATGGCTAGAAGTGGAGAGTGTAAGAAGGGAAATGAAGGTTAAAAAAATAGAATCTGAACCAGGTTGTAGTTTAGTTCAAACCATTAGAGATTATGCCTAGAATGGGGTGTAGATATAGAATCCAGGTAGCAATTTCAGCACGTAGTTGTGAAGATTTCAATAGCAATTGTCAGAATTGAATAGAGCTAAAATAACNCAGTGAAGAATGAAGGTGCACCACTTGCATCATAAAATCTTTTGTTCTAAATTTGATCAATTTTGTATTTCTTGTCGTTAAGAGATTATCTTATCACCTTTGCTTATTGTCGAAATCTTATTTAGTATAAAAAAAAAATTCATAAAAGGGAAAAAAATTTAAGAACACACTAAAAAATGTTCATTCAAGATCATTTATGTAATTTTTGCTTTTCCATTAGTTTGACTATTGCCAACACAAGGCATGTAATGATTTTTCAGAAGAGAAGGGGTAGTCTAATGCTTTTTGATATATAGGAGAGGTCGTGCATTTCAAGAAATTAAGAGCACTTCCTTGATAAATAGTCATCATTTTTAATGTTTGGACTACAATTATATTTAGATAAATGAGTAAAGATTTTTTACGCCTTGGCGGCTATTCCTCTGCTTAACATTCAACACCCACATGAACTCTCTTCCATGGCACAGATGCCTCGCGCTTCTGAACCTCAAAACACTCGCCACAACCCACTTCCAGCAAATACATGCCCAATTCATCACCAACTCCCATAACTCACCTACTCTTTATGCCAAACTCATTCAGCTTTATTGTTCTAAACCATCTCCACTATCCATCAAAGTTTCCCACCTTTTATTCTCTCGCTTTCACCCCCCTAACCTCTTTCTTTTCAACACTTTGATACGTTGCACTCAACCTCAACACTCCCTTCTTCTTTTCGCCAACTGGGTCTCTAAAGCTCTCTTACTTTATGATGATTTCACTTATGTTTTTGTACTGGGATCTTGTGCAAGATTTTGTTCACTTTCAACTCTGTGGTTTGGTAGACAGATACATGCACGCGTAGTGAAACATGGTTTTATGTTTAATGTTTTGGTGCCAACTACTTTAATTCATTTTTATGCAAGCAATAAAGATGTTATTTCTGGTAGAAGAGTGTTTGATGAAATGACTGTGAGAAGTTGTGTAACATGGAATGCTATGTTAACTGGGTATTGTTCAAAGAGCAAAAAGGCTAAAGATTGTGCCTTTGATGCGTTGGTTTTGTTTAGGGAGATGTTGGTTGGTATTAATGGAGTGAAACCTAATGATACTACCATGATTTGTGTTCTTTCAGCGTGTTCTCAACTGGGTGTGCTAGAAACTGGTGCTTGTGTTCATGGGTATATAGAGAAGACTATTTACTTGCCCGAGAATGATGTGTTTATTGGTACTGGTCTTGTTGATATGTACTCGAAATGTGGGTGTCTTGACAATGCTTTATTAATTTTTAGGCTGATGAGAGAAAAGAATGTATTGACATGGACTGCATTGGTAACTGGATTAGCTATTCATGGGAAAGGAAATGAAGCAATGATGCTTTTGGATTCAATGAGGGCTTGTGGTGTCAAGCCTAATGCAGTGACTTTCACTAGCTTGTTTTCTGCTTGTTGCCATTCTGGTCTGATTGAAGAGGGACTTCATTTGTTTCATAACATGAAGACTAAGTTTGGCGTTGAGCCTTGTATACAACATTACGGCTGCATCGTTGATCTTCTTGGCAGGGCTGGGCACTTAAAAGAAGCATATGATTTTATAAAGGGTATCCCAGTTAAAACTGATGCTATCTTGTGGAGGAGTTTCTTGAGTGCTTGCCATGTTCATGGGAATGTTGTGATGGCTGAGAAAGTTGGGAACATCCTCCTCCAGCTACAGCCAGAGCTGACTTCTCCAGATATGCCTGGGACTAGTGAGGATTATGTAGCTTTGTCAAATGTTTATGCTTCAGCTGAAAGATGGCTAGAAGTGGAGAGTGTAAGAAGGGAAATGAAGGTTAAAAAAATAGAATCTGAACCAGGTTGTAGTTTAGTTCAAACCATTAGAGATTATGCCTAGAATGGGGTGTAGATATAGAATCCAGGTAGCAATTTCAGCACGTAGTTGTGAAGATTTCAATAGCAATTGTCAGAATTGAATAGAGCTAAAATGACGACAACTTAAAAATTGATTGGTGGGAGATGCAGTGCGGGGGTTGGGGAATGTAATCGGCCTGTGTTTTTCCCTTATAATTCTTGATCCAGTTTTGATATTCGTCCCAATGTAAAGCATTCATTTGATATGAACAAAACTCTCAGTGATCAATCCCTCCGTGGAGGGCTGAACTAAACTTCATAGCACTGTTAGTGTTGCCATATCAGTGAAGCAAACAAAATGCCCAGGGTGATTTCAGTGAAGCAAACAAAATGTCCAGGGGTCAATTCCTCCATGGGATTGCAACTGCTGAAGCCTGCAAGTAAACTTCAAAAGCACTGTTAAATTGTTGCTCAATATATAGTAGTAACTTGGCTTAGTTCATATATAGAGATTTGGCCAGCTCCTAGTATCAAGAAATGACAAACATCATCATAGAGTATAAATATCCCAATGGATCATATTGATGTGGCTGATAAACTGTATTTATGTCTTGAACTCAAACCAGTTTGTATTAAGTTATTGCATTTTAATTTTTAAAGCACTCCATCCTGTAATTTTGTCTTATCGTAACATCTGTATAACATCGATTGAGTTTCTCATTTGATTCTGGGGATTATTAATATTAAAAAATTTATCTTCTCTACCCAGTCAGAATTTCAAAAAACGTGACAAAGTAAAACAGGATATGAATTGAAGAGTAGAAAAACCATCCTGCAATCAGAAGTTGGAATGACACTAGTAAAATGTAACTGTACTAATTAGTTGATTAATAACTGAAGGTTAATATAGCATTCTGACCAAAAGTACTTTACTTATAAGAATTAGAGTTCTTACATACAGTTTAAAACCTAAAATAAAACTGCAATTGAATCACTCTTCAACAATAACCTTATTTAGACATGGGTCTGCTTTTTATTACTACTGTTCTCCACTGGACCCATGTGCATGAGGACTTACCCCCCCACGAATTCTCTTTTGTAGATGCTCCAAGCTAGCAACTCGCTGCATGGAAACAGTTCTTCCTATCTTATTCCCCGACAGGGATGCTGCTCCACCATTCGATTGCACGTTTTCAGCAGAAGAAATGTCTGTCAAAGCATTGTTGAGACTCCGGTCATGAGTAGACATATGATCTGGGGCATGAAAGAAGTGATGATCTGAGTCATCTTGCACAGGAACAGCAGCATCTGTTGATGTATCAGAAGGGCTTCCACCAAATGATGGCAGACTCATTGTGGATACTTCCGACATGCCATGGAACATAGGGTTCAACCCAGTAATTCTCTTAACTGACTCCTCAGCCATCTTCACCTGAAATATAATCAAGACAGGGAATGAAATTATTAAATATTAGGTTTCTCTTCCTCTTTTGCATCAATACCTCTACTCCTTTTGTTAAAAATGATAATCAATAGGATCCTATCACAATGGTTTTGATCCTCAACTTGCAAGCCCTTGGCTTGCATTATTAGTACTGATAAATTTCTTACCTTCGCTCTTAATGTTTCAACATCAGCTTTCAGAACTCTGTTGTCAACTGCTGCTTCATTGTACTTTTGGCTTATGTCAGTGAGACGCTTCAGTAAAGATGAATTTTCAACTCTTAATTGAGAAACCTACAAAAAGGGAAAGTTGCATTAGAAACTATATAAAGATTCTTCAATACTGAGGTGGAAAGCAAGAGGCAGGAACAAGAACCACACCTGCGTCTCAAGCTCAGTCAAATGGGCCTGCTTTCTTCTCCTGGAGCGTCTAGCAGACTCTCTATTGGAAAGCATTCTGGAAAAAAAAATATGTATCAATGAAAAGCCTTCTACATCAAATACACCCCTGAGAAAAATTAAATTTATGTAAATGGACAGCATAATACATTGAAGGGATTTAAATATGCACATTGAAAAAACACTTTTATTAGACTGGCTACCAAACTATTTCAGAATGTAAGGTTACATGTCTTGTTATCAAAAGTTTGAAGCAAAAGCTTAAGGCTCTGACCTCTCTTTCATGCCAATTTCACAGTCCAATTCAAATAAACCATTGGATACCTATATTTTCCAAATAAATCCAGTTGCCCAGTCTACAATAAACAGCATAAACGTAACATCGGCAAGCATCAAACCTGCAATATTTTGATTCAAAAGAGCAGAGACAAAAATTACCTCCTAACACGTTTTACATCAGCAGGGTCCATATTCTCAGTTATTTCAGTTTCTCCATCAATTTCATCATCTTCGGACTGTTCTCTTGATGACCCACTGGTTGCTGACTTCATTGGTGCAGCATTTTTCGTCTGGGTGGTTGACGAGGGGATTCCATTAAATCCATTAGAATCCTTATCTTGGGACCTAGACAATGCAGCTCCTATATGGTAATGAGAATCCCAAAAAAAATAAAAAAATTATATTATTCTAACATGAAATATTTTATAACCCATCATGCTACAGTCAACTCGGAAATTGCTCAGTACATGCATAGAGAATAATGAAGAACGCTAACACACATTCCATGAACAACAAACACAAGTTAATAGAAGCAAAGGCCCAAATATGAGTCATATGCTCCTTATCCCCCTTTGACTTCTTATGTGCCTAAGTCTTTGGATAAAGATGGAATCACAACTTCAAAAGAGAAAATCATTATATAATTGATTATCAATAATCCCCAATGTCACCTAGTGCTAGCATATCCACCAATATCTTCTTTGCTCACCTTTTTAATCTTTAATCTTTGACTCACCCTCGCTCCAAATGGCGCAATATTCTCAATCAATTTATGTCCAAGCCACTTAAACTTGTAATATATTGATGTGTCAGTAGCTTATAGATGCAATTAAACTTATTTATTAATTCATTGAAAAGAGCGATAAAGTGATTATCATTGCTGTGAACTTAGAATTTGTGAACCAATTTTGCTAATAAAAAGTAGATTTATGAGGCAGCAAAAGCAAAGAAATTTTTTCAGTAAAAATTGACATTTATTTTCATTGTAGCTTTTTCAGTCTTCAAATACCTTATCGTTTTCTCTCTCTCTCTCTCTCTCACACACACACATTCTTCATGCTAAGTAACAAGATTTACGAACCAAAAGAATATGTAGTCTGATATAAAATCCATACATCAATTGAATTGCATATGTATACCAACAATCATAAAGAAACTAATTCAGTTGTGCAAACCATTGGAAGGAGCATGAGATCCTGGTTGTGATGTATTGGAAGCCTGTGATCCACTGTCAGCTCTCGCAGAAGAATCTTGAGGTCTTACAAAAGCTCCCTGTGTACACAAAGACACCAAAAGAACATTTAGATGGCCAATGTTAAGCAAAAACAAGATTCTCCTGCACCAAATTCCAAATCTCAGATTCAATTGCATGGAGCTTTCAAAAAGAAAAAATGATTGCAATTTGCATGAAATAATTATTTGGACGCATGTCTACATATTTTACAAAGTTATAATCTTTTTCACTTTATGAAATGAAAGTATATGTCCAAGTTACTTCACTACCACAGGGCGTCTATCAGGAAACCAGGAACTACATATCCAACCATTTACTTCAAGGAGAGGAATGTCCGGAAGATGATGAAGCAATACAGCAAAAACAATTTACAGGACAGGAACCAGTTACAGTTGTAAGATATCTTTTACTCTGTTTAAATAGAAGTAAAAAAGAGAAAAGATGGACGAATATCGTGAATGGTATTATGATATCATATATCTGGTAAGCAGAACTACATGTTATATACAAAACGAGTTCAATTGAAACCAAAAGAGAAGAATTTTCGAAAGTGAAACATATTGAAGGGAAAATAAATAAAGAAAAAGAAGAGGAGCATGACATCATAGAGGTATCAACTTTTGACTCTTCATGAGTTTGATACTTGACAAAGGTTGACAAAGAAGTCAACAAAAGTTACAATGGATGGCCATAAGCAATGTAAAAAAGTTTCAAGAAGATTACCTATGTCTTTCTTATCCTAAAATCAAAAGTTACAATGGATGGCCATGTGGGATTAGAATCATAACTAACATGGATGTTTGTTTTCTATACGTCTCTCTTATCCTAAAATCTTGAGCAAAATTTGCCTTTCTCAAGTCCAAACAAAAATAGCCTTATACCCAATATAATTTTAGTTCACAAAAAACATATCCAAATTTCTGTTATCATTCAAATATCGCAGAACGATTAAGGAGAATCAGATTAACCAAATAAAAATCTCTAATCCCCAATTTTAGATGTAATTGAATCCTTTAACATTAAAGAAATAACTGAAATTCTAAATAATGAACTTTTGATGTACGCAAATATCGACTCAGCTAACACAAGATTTAGATAAATCAATCTGATCTCTTTTCTTTTTTTCCCACAATTTAGAATCCTTTTCCCCAGTTTTCTGAGCTGCCAACACGAACCAAAACCATACACAAAAAAGCCCAATAGAAAAAAGGTCGTTTACATTATTTTCTCCTAAGTTTTCTCACCAACCAAACACAAACCCAGAACCTACAAAGAAAAAGATACAGAACTTTGACCGATTGTCCTCTCATTTCTCACCGACCGAATAAACCCAACCAAAAAAAAAAAAAAAAAATCTAAAAAAAAAAAAAAAAAAGCTTACACGAGACAAAGCACAGCAGCACAGCTAGATTAAGCTTGTTCTTAAGATAGTCGGTATTCCTCAGCGTCCACCGGAATATTCGGAGCACACCATTGCAGCGCCCACATTAACGACACGTCGTTTTGTTGCCACCTTTTACATCACAACGTTTTTATTATTGTTGTTACCGTGAGGATTATTGATCTCAACGCAGTGTCGTTTTTGGTGTCAGCACAAGCAGCAGCAGCCGCCGAAGAAGATTGTTGAGGAGAAGATCCTTCTTGAGCCTCTTGAAGAAAACGTTGGAAGGCCCACTCATGATTCGCTCGGTTCATTTTTGACGATTCGTCCGGTGAGTTAGCCCACAACTGGCCGGAGATTTCATTCACTGGGAAACCCTATCCATTTTTGTTTTATTTTTACTTCGTAAGTTTAGTTTATCCGGTTGTTCTTGTCTACTTGTCTTCCAGCCGCATAATAAAAAGTTGTGTTTGTAGGTCATTTTCGTCCATCTACTTCTTTTTATTTTTTTACTTTTATTTTATCCAAATTTCTTTTCACTAATTTATATCAGTGGTTGGTCGTTGTTGTCAATTTTGGGAATTTGGAATGGATAAACGTTGACAAGAATTTTTCCAAAAATTTGGTTTATTACAAAGAAACTAATGAATTAATTTATAATAACTAATCGAAATTGTGATTTATGGATTAAAATCGTTAATAATTCATTCATTATGATTATGTAATATTTTTTAGGTAAGGATTTTATGAATGGTGTTAATATTGTATTTTTTTTTTTTTTTTTTTGTATGATATGGTTGTCCGAACTAATAATAATATTGTATTTCTTTTTAGATCTTCCATATAAAAATAAATTGGGAATAAAAAGATTAGCTATTTACTAATTCAATGAATGACTCAGTCTTTGACCAATAAGGTGGAAAAAAAGAGGATGTTTATCCATTTGATATTTACAATTGGCGATTTGTCTTGTGGGGTCTATTAAATAATAAAATAAAATTTAACCAAATCCAAAGCAATCAAATAATATCTCTATATATATATATCCTTCATTAAAATATTTTTTTTCTAGAAAAGAAATCAAACGAAAACTGTAAAAAAGTCAACAAAATTCTGATAATATGAATTAAAAAAAAAGGGAAAAATGTGATTGGGTAATGTTCATAAATTGTTGGATAGGAAGAAATCAAAATGAGTGTTGGTATTGGATGCGTTCCGTGTGATGCGGCGGCTATTTTCTTTCATATTTGTGGTAAATTTGAATCTTGTGGCCCACAACATATTGGTGGGCCAGGCCCTGGGCCTTCGGTCTGGGTTGGCCCACAACTTTTTGCCTTTAAAGGCACATAATAAACTTGTGTCTGTTTGTTGCCACTCAAGTTAAGACAACTTGTTTATGCCATTTTGACAAAAAATGTCGCTTTCGGATCCACGAAGAATTAGTCCATTAATCAGATTTGTGATTTGTTTCACAAGGTTTAGAGTTTAAGTTTCTTACATGATTAAAGGTTATTATTTTTTGTTTCTCAAATATTATAAAAATGACGGAACTCTAATTTCAATACAGATTTGTAAAACGCACTAAGAAAAGAGTGTTTTTTTTTTTTTTTTGTAACTGAAGTGTTCGAGCTATTGCATATACGATACCTCATTTATTGTTGAGGTCCATTAACATTCTAAAAGCCAAAAGTTTAAAGGTTAATCTCCTCATAAGTACTTACATGGTCAAAAGTATTATTTTCCACTTCTCAATATTGTAGTTTGGGGAAGCTCTTCAAACTTGGATTTGGAAAATGAAATCAAAAAATTACAAAAAAAACAAAACAAAAAAAAAACACTTGGAGGACATGTAAAAGGAGATTGTTGCATTTGCCAACCATGGGTATATTTTATATGTTTTCCTTTTACTTTTCTAAGAAGCACTAAGTAATTTGTAATCAAAGTGTTACTAGAACTTTTAATCATGTTTAAGCCAAAGATTTACATAAGTAATAGGACCTATAAAGGAATAGTTGCATATGCAACTAGGCAGATTTTTTCTTCTTTAAAAGGAAGCACTAACAAGTTGTAGATGCATGTGAAGTACCAAAAAAGCTACATCTTAAACAATATAACAAAAGTTATCTACTAATAGATGTGATATTTGGATTGGTTTATATTGTTAATTTAAGCTATGCTGAATCAACCCAAATTTTTTTTCTTTCGAAAAAGTAGAAAATTAGGTGCATCAAAATATGACAAAAAACCAATTACGCAATGTGATTGTGAATGAAATTTGTTGATATAGTATGAACTTGTTTGATGTGGTACATAACCTAAATAGGCCTTACTCTTATATATTACGTAAGGGTGTTAAAAAATACCTGATACTAGAATTAGAATCAGAATCGAACCAAATCGAAAAAATCGGGTATTTGAAAATCCAATTTGGTTTTGGGTTACAATATGGGATGAACCCAGATTTTTTGTTCAAATACCGATTTGGACTTTGGATGTGCTTAGAATCGAATACCCAAACCGAACCAGTTTAGGGTTAAAATAAATACCTAATCTAATTTTGTCTACTTCCCAATCCCAAATAAACTTAGCCAGAGCCCTCAGTAGCCTCCTTAAAGGCTAAACTAATCAAACTCTTCACCATCGTCATCAACCTGCTAGAAATCTCCGTTGTCCAATCGTGAGAACCCCGACCACCGCCTTATCAACACTAGGGGCAGGCGGGTCTAAGTACCAGCCCAAATTCAAAGGAACTGGAATCGACCGGTTCCTAAGGTTTGGAACCAGAAACAGAATCGGAACCCACTAGTTCCAGTTTCTAGAAGCCAGGAATTGGAACCTGAAACATAGGTTCCAATTCCGGTTTCGGGTACCCGGGTTAATTTCAATTATCCTTCTACTTTTTAAAAAATAACCAATAAACCCTATAAAAATTACAAATTCATCGCCAATAGGTTACACAAATTACAATTCATTCTTGATTCCTATCCAAGTACCTAGATCTCGATTCCGTTCCTATAGGAGTGGAACCGGAACCAGCTAGTTCCTAATTTCTAGAATTGAAACCTACCTTGTGAGGGTCAGTTCCATGTAGGAACTGAGACCGAAACCCTGGGTAACCGTCGGTTCTGGTTCCGACTGGTTCTTTTGCACACACCTAATCAACACCTTTGAAAAAAAAACCAAGTCAGTTTCTCTTTAAAACCCTCTTCTCAACATCTTCTTCAGCTCTTCCCCTTGACTCTAACCAACCGAATCTCCTTTCTCAGCTCTTCTTAATCCTCTCAAAAAAACCCTAAGAAATGGCAAAAACGCCCCTCAATGAAAAAGCTCATTCCTTTCATTTTCATTTCTCGTGTTTCTTCCCTTTATAAACTGAACTTGAATCCAATTGCGCTTGATTTTTCTTTCTGGATTTCGTAGAAACCTGGGTTCAAACAGAGCATTGAATCGTATTATTCTCAAAGGAAAAATTGCTTCTATTACGTTTAAATCTTGTCATTCTATGGAAGATGTTGGTGTTGCATTAGATATTTTGCAGAAAATAAATGACGGCGATGGCAAATCTAAGTTTAAGCTTATTAATAAAAAATTTGGACAAAAATAACCTTATTTTGAAATTAATTTACAAATATATTCATAGACTATTTTATCCTTATAGACAAATTTTTTAGGATGTAAATACCCTTGGACTTTAAAAAAATTACCTATCTGGCACCACCGCCCGTCGTCGGCCACCACTGATCAGCCAGATTTGGTCTGCTGTGCACCGATAAGCCCGTTTTCAGCTAGATTTATGGCTGTGAAAATGCTAGATATTAGGTCGTGAAACGACAGTCGTTTCACGGCCAAAGGTATGGCCCTTGCACGACCAGATCTGTGGCTGTTTCACAGCCACATCTTTGGCCGTAAAACGGCTTGATTTGGTCGTTTCCAGTATAGGCTTTATCGACACACGACCGATCAGCAACTGTTGGCGACAATCGACGATGGTGGCTAGGCCAACTGGTAGCAGGTAGTGGCTTGGGATGGGTGGGGATTATTTTGTTACAAATTAAAGTTTTATATGGCTGGGGTATTTTAGCAAAATTTCAAACGTAGGGGGTTAAAAGAAATGATTTAAAAAATATTATTATATTAATATTTAAAAAGGAGGGCAATTTAGTAATCTTCATAACATACCCACCAATTTATCCTCCTAACCAAACATATTAATATAACATACCCACCAATTTATTTCAACCTAACCAAACACATTTTCCTAAATATTCTCAATAATCTTCATGGTGTGTTTGGTTCAGGGAATGTTATATTACTGGGATGGGTCGTTTGAATCATATAATGCTTTATTATAAAGGGATATTATATTAACGGAATATAAGATCATCTTGAAGATTACTGGGAATGTTTAGAAAATGTGTTTGATTGGTTCAAATAAATTGGTGAATAATATGTTTGGTTGGGACGATAAATGAGTGGGTATGTTATATAGATTACTAAATTGCCCTCCTTTTTAAATATTAATATAACAATATTTTTTATTATTATTTTTTGAATAATTCTTTTTAACCCCCTACTTTTCAGGTTTAGCAAAAACACCCTAGCAACCAAAAACGTTTTAAACTAAACAAAAACACCCATATCCACCCCAATCCACTGCCGGTAGCCAGCCACCACCTCTGGCGGTCGTTGGTATTTCACAGATCTAGCCGTGACACTGCAGTGCCACAGATTTGGCCGTGAAATGGTCAGGTCTTTGGCCATGAAACAATCATAGATTTGGTCGTGAAACAGCCAGATCTGGCCTTTTTCGACCATGAATCTGTGATCCACAGTCGAAAAAAGCCTCACCGACGCACGGCTGGCCATATATAGCCTGTCATACGCCATTATGGAGACTTTTGGCAACCTCTGGCAATGGTCGACGATGGCTGGCGATGGTGGCTAGTTCTGGGTATAATGACATTTTTGTAAATAATGATAATAACAATGGCAATGTCGTCCAAAAACTTTAAAAAGCGAGGACAAAAGTGGCTGTGTAACACCCACATTAAGGTATGTAATTTTATTTATGCCTTAATACTCTTAGTTGGATTTCTTTGAAGTTACCTTAGACAAATGTGAAGAAAATTTCTTAAAACTTCATTAGGGGTAAAATGGTCCTTTTACTCATAGTTAGATGAAAAAGTGGGAAGTGAAAGGAAGCAAAATGATGTGAAGAAAATAATAAAAATGAGAGTATTTTAGTAATTGACTAAAGGATATAGATAGAATTTCATAGAAAGTGCAAGGGCAAAATGGGAATATATGCATATAA